TTTTGGGTCCATAGTTTGATTTTTCTATGTTTTTGTCTCTGTTTATCTATCACTTCTTTCCATTCATTGTACTTTTAGAAATGCATTAGTTTTCCCATTTCAAAAATAGATTTGATAGAATTGAAAAGTGACATTGAAATCTCAGCTAATTAGTTATTTTATAGCTCCTACTAGTTGAGAATGGAACTATTAAATTAAATTCATGCATTTTCCTTTCAGGTGTCATGTACCTTTTTTTGTATAGTAAAGGTGTTATAATTACTTAGACCTCTAGATGAATTAATACCAGTGGATAGGAATAAGTTAATTAGATCATGTCAACCCTGATACTAGCTGGTAGTATTAATTTTCTTTAAAATTATTGGCTGAAAACTGAATAGATAACCCTAAATGCTAATAAGGGTGTATTCCTTTTCATTTTTGGATCTCCTAAAAATTAAAAAAAATGAGTTTTTTACTTTGCACATGCCCCTTGCTATTTGTTCCCAAATGCATCAGCTAAAACTAGTTCATTAGATATTCGGAAATGGTTTTACAATTAAACTTGCACCAACCACAAAATCTAAACCATTAGATCAGTGAGATTCATGAACAATTAAAATCCAACCAAAAGTAAGTCTCACTCATCCAAGGGCCACAATGCTGATACTGCGCTCAAAGCATCATTCTCTTAAATAAAACTTTCTTCCTGCAGGACCAAATCCCATGTTAAAGTTTGATGGAATTAGAATTGCGTCCTAATAATAACTTCCTGCTCTTTACAGTTACACATCCACTTTATCTTTATGTGGTCCAGATATCCCTGTATGATTGTATATGCGTTTCTTTGTGAGAGAGGCAAAGAGTTCCGAATCATAGCGTTTTGGTCTTCATCCTGTTCAGCATCTTACCATGCAATTATTTATATATCTTGTCTTGCATTTTTGTTTGTCTCACGCCTAACTTTTCTTCCTCTCTTCTGCTTCTGCGAGTCGATTCGTCGGTGACGGTAAGCACTATTATTTCATATATAGTGTTTTGTTTATTTGTCATTTTTCTTAAAATAGTCTTTATTATAGATCAATTCTGCAGTTTAGATGCATGCTGTTATTTTTTTATGATTTTATCCAATTCTATTCAACACTTTTAATTAAAAAATTAATTATATAACGAAAGAAATTCAGTGCATATTAATTTCGATTTCTAAAAAATTAAAGTTCTAATTTCAAAAACTTTACTTTGTAATTAATATTTTCAAAAATTAACAGTCAGTTAAATTTAGTATTTTATTCGTAAAGATCATTCATATTAATTTTCGAATTGATTAAATATATATATTACCTTCAATTCAATATATATAACTAGTTCATTGATTATAAAAAATTTATAATTCTTAAATATATACTTCTTTTACTTCAAAATAATTGTTATTTATTAACTTTTAGTTTGTCCATCATTATAGATGTTAGATCAATTTAAAAATTAACATGCATGATCTTTATCAATAAAATATTAAATCGGTTGGTTTTTTAAATATTTATTAAAGAATGATATTTTTTAAATTAAGACTCTAAATTTTTTTTATAAGAATCAAGATTGATATGCATTTTTTCCATAATAAAAACATGCATTATATCTTAATATTATTTTAGGTAAAAGTATGCATCATATATATGATGATATTATATATATATAAATAAATAAATAAATAAATATATGTGATGATATATATGCTTTATCATGCAGCTCTGTAGGCGTTCTTTTCTTTTTAAATGAAGTTAAAGGAAAATGTAAAGGTTCAAGCCCATCTGTATGTGGTCCAGTGCATTAAAGGCACAACAAAACTTAATTTTAAAAGTATAACACACCATTAATTTAGGTATAAGATAATGAAGATTCTATTTGGTATAGTTTTAATTTTAAATTTTTACTTTTATTTTTATATATTTAATAACTAGTACTACATTTAAATTAAATTTAGTAAATTTAGATTTTTATAGTGCATTTTTAATTCTAAATATAATAATAGTTTTTAAATGTATAAAAGATGAAAACTCAATCAAAACTTAAAACTAAAATCATATTAAATAAAGACTAAGTAATTTAATTGCAACATAAATATTATAACCAAAAACAATCAAAAAAATAAAATATTATAGTCAAACGCAGACCAAAATCTAATGGTGAAACCATAAATCAACATAATACATCTAACCTAAAATATGAAATAGCAATTACTAAAATCATTCCATGACAACAAAACACATACCTACCATTTTTTCTAATCTCAACATTCACCATGGGGAAGGACGTAAAGCATTGATAAACTCCCACAAACCAGGCCTGGAAAGTCAAACACACATAGAAGCCATTCTTAAAGGGAGATTAAAACCCTTACAAGAAAATCTGAGTAAAAGGAAAAAGAAAAACCTAAAAAACTAGAAGGAGAAACAAAATTAAAGCAAGAAGGGAAGAAGAAATAGAGGATGGGAGATATAGGGTAGAGGGAAACCAAAACCCTGGCCGCTTCTCTCTAGTGTAATGTTCATTTGAATTATTTTGCAAGTGTTAAGTAGAATATCTTATATCAGTCAATTAAGAAAAAACTATTAAATTAAACTTAAGTGTGATATAATTATTTCATCTATTATCAATTAATTTTAGGTTATTTATTGTCAATTAATTTTAAATTATATATTAGCACACATTATTATCCCAAAATCAATGCGTCCTATATGTCTCATTGATTGAAGCTTAAATCTATTATAATGTAGGGTATCCAATGGGAGGTTATAGTTGAAGCGGACCTCATTGTTCAACTTGTTATAGGGTAAAGAGTTGGGCAGGGATTTGCAAGACAAATATGGTACAACAAAACAAACTAATGAAGATGGCATTCTTCAGTGCTGAAAACATTAAAAATCTATGGGATACATGGAATATCAAAGGACTGATTATTCTAAGCCTCTTGGTTCAATCTTTCTTAATTCTGCTTGCACTCTTGAGAAAACAAAAGGGGGGGAAATGGATCGTCATGATTCCTATCTGGTTGGCATACTTGCTTGCAGACTGGGTTGCTACATTTACAATTGGACTCATCTTACGGGCTGAACCTAGTGACATCTTGGTATTTTGGGCACCCTTTCTTTTGTTACATCTTGGT